TTTTAAGTTTTTGTCAGCTTTTACTTTTTGCATATTCAATGTGTTGTTAAATAAATGCTTTTCGTGATATAATATAATAGTTTATGTTTAAATCACTATTTTATTCAAATTATAGAATTTATCGTTTCTTATTAATAAAAATAATCTAAAACAAAGGAATTTTTGTTATACCTTATTGATATGCTCTATAGTTGATAATCAAGATTAATATCTTTTGTTAGAATTAACAATAATAAAGATATATGATTGGATTTTTTTTAGACTTTTGGTTTTGGCCCCTCTACTTTTACTTGTCGTGTTCCATCCCTGTATAGGATTATGTTATTTGAGCTCCAAGTTACTTAAGCTACAAGCAACATCCTAAGAATCCTACACGATTTCTAAAGACTATATATAGAAACATATTGCTTGATCCATATGCAACCTCTAATGACTTGAACCCTAAGGAACTTCTAAGGATTCATTCTTGTATAAGGCTCGACCCTTCTACACCTCATCATGTAAGGACATATTTGGAAATTACTTAATATTTACCCCCTAATTTATGATAGAAATTGTGAGATTTTCCAATTGTATAAGCTTGTGCATTTTAGCAAATTTTATCTCGCAAAAGCTTTTGTTATGGTAGGGGCGGAACACAACAAATAAAAATAGAGGGGCCAAAACCAAAAAAAAAAAAAAACATCTAAGCATATATTTTTATTATTGTCAATTATAATAAAAGATATTAGTCTGATTATCCACTATAGACCATATTAACAAGAATTCATTTGCTTTACATTATTTTTATTAATAAGAAACGATACAATTCTATAATTTGAATAAAATGGTGATTTAAACATAAAATATTATATCACGAAAAGCTTTTATTTAACAACACATTGAATAAGCAAAAACCAAAAGCTAACAAAAACTTAAAGGCTATAGGCTTCTGTCATTTACAACACATTTAATAGGAAAAACAAGCAAATACTTTTTGTTCACAGTTTCAGAAATTATAAAAATAAAAGACGAGAATTCATAAACTAAAGATTGAAGCTCTTAAAAGATAAAAGATAGCAATCTACATACAATGAGACCTTAGAAGCGAGATGGGCAACAGACGATTTGGGTGAGACATAGAGGCGACGAAGAGCTAGAGTTTCCCGCATTGTCCGGCGTCAATTTTAAAGCGGCGACCAAAGATAACAGAGACGCGGTTAGGGTTTTTTAGATTTTACTCTTTAGGTTTCTTTGATCTACTTTTTATGGGTTTATAAAGTCTTAATTGAGATTTATTACTGGGCTTTTATCCTATTAGTAATTAAAAGACTTTATTTATTTATTTGATATGTTTATAGAGTTCCGATTTCTCGCATATCAGTTAAATTTTCATATCAAATGTTTTAATACCTTAGTAAATTACCTTTTTCTCTCAATTTTGAAATTGTCCATGTACCTTCTTTTTTGGTTCGCCTAATCCACACCCCATTCCAAACACATCATCAAGAATCAAAATCGTCAAGATTTTTAGGAAGTTATTGGGCAAAAAAAGGAGGGGCCATGGCCTCCCCTTGGTTAGGGATGACAAATCGGGCTATCTTGTCGTGTTTTTATCTGACACGACAATGTTTTATGTAACACAAACACGACACGACACGATGTTGTGTTTTTTTTAACTAACACGAAAACGAACCGATTAAAAAACGACAAACACGACACGACATGATAAAGATAACATAATAAAAAAATTAGTTTATTTAATTAATACTTAATCATACATAACACAAAAAACACGACAAATAAATGCTAATCGTGTCAATTTCGTGTCAAATTTTAAACACGAACACGAAACGACACGATATCGTGTTTTTTACACTTAACACGAACACGACACGAACACGAATTCGAATTTCAGTTTCATCCCAATTTCGTTTCGTTTCGTTTCGTGTATTTTTGTCGTGTCGTGTCAACAATTATCACCCCTACCCTTGGCCCCTTAAAGGATCCCCCTGATCGTATATATAGTTCTAGACATCAAGTTGTATGGTATCTGATAAAGATAAAGAGAAATAGCAACCGAAGCAACAATTGTAAGAGAGTTTGAGTAATTTTTTTTTTTCTAATAAGAGTTATTCTCGTTTTCTTTCGTGTTCATATTTTTAATATATGCCAATTACTTTCTACATCTTTTAATGTTTTCTTATTGTTGCAATATTCATATTATACTAAAAAATAAGTATTCTTTTTCTTACTATACCACATGAAAATCTACTTTCACGGATCCACGTAGCCACAAATATTGATTTTCGATATATAATCGTAAGTTTATGTGATTACAATTATGATACAATAATATTATTGCAACCGTAAGCCTGTAACTAATAACAAATGATGAATGTTAGATAATATGAAATAAACAGAAGTAATTCAAAAGTCGACGTACATACTGACATACATAAAACACACATGTTACACATTTTATTCATTAATGCATTCGTACATTTCACTTTATTTTTCCCTCAAAACATATTAAGTAGTAACAGAGCCATAAATTTTACATAAGAGGGATGAGTTTTAATAATTACGAAAAGTGGAGGGGGCACCGGCGAACCTACCCAATTCTAGGAGTTCGAAGAACGACGCCACTAGAGTTCACCCACACCCTCACACGGTCGCACCGGAAATCCCCGGTTGTCGGAGTTCCGTCCAGTATCACCATCGCGTCGACACGTGGATTCTCTCTTTCAATCGTCACCGCTGCAGCTTCTCCGTTAGCTCCCACCAGCTCCGGCCATGAACTCTTTCCTGTATCCAATATCCAAACAGAAACTTGTTTAGTTCATCTTCAGTTTTCACCCCATTCGTTATACAAAAATATGCTCGAATGATATGAAATCAAAATATAAATAAAATTAAAGTAGAATCCATTTACCTTGGCAGTCCGACATTGTTAGATGAGCAGTGAAAACATCGAATTCGAACGTGAGGTATAAATAGAGGTAAAGGCTTTGGAGAAGTGCTGGCGTAGAAGTCGTACCTTGTGCAGTATGAGTTGTACCCTTTTGTTTTTCAACATTTCTCATTTGAGTAGGCAAATTCCAAAATTGTCACTTTTGTTGAATTGTTGAAATTTGAAAACCAAGACAAAACGGCCATTTTTGCTGACTTTCAAAATTGGGAAATTCCGGTATTCCCTATCTGATTAAGTTACAACCCATAATTCAATCACAATTTTACAATTATAGTAATAAATCTGAAGCTGTTTGTATGAGCATATATAAGATATGGGAAAAAAAAACAACACTTCACTCAAGAAGAGTTTGAGATTCTCTTATCAAAAAGAAAGAATTTGTGTACAAATGTCTTAATCATTCTACATATGACAGAAGCCTGATACTAAGATATGGAGAACACTGAGATAAAACAAACTAAAAAACACATTTTTTTGATCGTATAAACATACAGCTGAATGGAGCAATGAACAAGATAAAGGCTTTCATAACTTGTTTCCAACTTCTTTTTTATGTCAATTCATCAATCACTTCTTTGGTGTTGATTCTTGATAAATTAAGTGTTTCCTGCATGCGTCTGAAAGTATCAATTAATGAGTTAAGTGTTTCAGCCGTGATTTAAAATGTTATCGGTAAGAAGACTTAATTATGGTTTCCAAGATTGAATAATGAGAAAGAAAAGTAATCATGATATAAAAATTAAAAATAAATAGCGCTAAATGTATGAAATAGTAAGGTACTTTCATTTATTTGTGTAATACAACTTCCTATTTTCATTTCTTTCTAGTGCAACATTGTACTTTCAACTTTTTTTTCTTAAAGTTAAATGCAAGAAATAGTAATGTACTTTTTATGATGTTGTAATAAACCAATCAGTTAAAATATGTTGTTATTTATTCATTTAAGTGTATCTTACCAATCTACCATAACAAAAAAAAAAAAAAAAAAAAAAAAAGGCTATACGCAAGAAATATCAAAGAACTTTCATTTAACTGTGTATTATAGCATCATACATTCACAAATATTTTGTTATTAATTGCATTCAACCCTGTGTGTTTGTGTGTGTGTGTGTGTTTAATCCCATTTCCATGGAATTATGAACGTGATGGGGGCGAATGGAAATTCCAGAGACAGCTTTCTAGCCATGAATTTAGCACAAAGTCTCTTGGGCATTTCTTCGAACATGTGGTGGGTGATGAACTCAATAAACGTTTAATCCCAACATTAACCATTGCTGCTGCTAATGATACTGTTCTTGATCTCCAAGACATTCTTCAAAGATTTGTTCTTGATAATATTTGCAGAATCGCTTTTGGGTATGATCCTGTGTACTTAATTACCCTGTCGCTGCCACAAGCTAAATTTGCAGTTGCTTTCGAAGATGCTGATCGTATCAGCAGCGCCATTATTATCGAAGTTCAAAAGAATTTTACAAATCGGATGGATAAACGACTTGATAACTTACAGCATAAAACCTTTGCAACATGATAACTTACAGCATAAAACTATAAAACTATAAATAATTCTAAAATATGAATACTTATATTTCTTTTCAAACATTTTAAATATTCTTATAATAGCTTATATATGGAATTGAAAAAATAAATCACGGAATCAACTCTAATAAATAGTAGGATTTTATTTTATTTTTCGAAACGTACTTAACGTGTTAAAAATACCACCATTCAGAATTTCCATAAAAATATAATTCTTGAACCTTCAATAAACGTAAGGGTCCTTAGGCACGTTTTGTTTAAATTAAAAACGGAAAATGTGGGCCTAGTATTTAGCCCACCACCGTGCAGCGTGAGTGCGTGACAAAGCCTTCTGCTCCGGCGAACCAAGCTGGTTTCCTGCCATGGACTCCGGCGAGCTGTACAAAAACTGCGGATGTTCAGGTCTTGAATCTTTTTTGTTTCCTTTCTTCTCCACAGACGAAGACCATTTGTGTAACTTTATATAATTAAGTTTAAACAATTCTATTATATTTAAAAAAAAAAAAAAACAGTTTTCAAAATTAAGTTTAATATTCCTATTTCTATTATAACCTTTTGTTTTATGTCATGATTTTTGTTTTCCTAAATTTTGAATTTTCTTTTTTGACTTTTTTCTGTTTTCTTGTTTTCTTATTTTGTTAGGTATCTTTTAATGTTACTTATTGACGCATATTAAGCTTGAAAATAAGTATTTTTTTTCAAATACCACATGATTTTCGATGTATAGTAAGGGGAGGACCCACAATAGATTTTGGTGTATCCCGGGATCCCTTCAAAAAAAATTTAGATTAATTTCGTTTTATGTAGTATGTATATATACATAATATTAATATGTTTAGCGAAATAATAACAAAAGGACATTTGGTTCAAATGGTTAAATACATTATATGAGACTTTTTGTAGGTTGCTAGTTTAAATATTATTTCATACATATATTTTTCACAGTTGCTTTTATATAACTTTATACAAATTATACCTATTATATTATGATGTTGTGAAAAGTAAACACAAATACCGAGTTGTCAAAGTGGTAAAGTTTACACGGGTGTATTTTATTTTATTTATCAGTTTTTCAACTTATTTTTTTAAATTCTAAAATTGTCTTTAGATCGGTCATAACATGAAATATAACTCTTATATATCTGTTATATAAGCAAAACAAGTTTCTCAACAACAAGTTAAAGTTTCGAATGGCTTTGGGTTTAAACCCAAAATCAAGTTTGGAAAACCGAGAAACCGAACCATCGGTTTGGGATACCCGTTTATATTGACTCTGGTTCTACCACTGTGTATAATTACGTGACTGTAACTATAATACAAATTACGATGATACCACCGTAATAAATAGAAAACGACGAATGTCAGACACTATGAAAAATAAACGAAAGTAATTCATAACTCGAAACTCGATATATTAAACACATATGTTGCACATTTTATTTATTAATGCATTCTTACAAGTCACCTTATTTTTCCCTCAAAACATCAGCGTAGCTCCTAAATAGTAACATAGTAACCGAGCCATAAATTTTACATAAGAGGGATGAATTTTATTTATTATGAATAGTGTAGGGGGCACCGACAAACTTAGCCAATATTAGGAGTTCGAATAACGACCCCACTAGAGTTCACCCACACCCATACACGGTCGCACCGGAAATCTCTAGGCGTCGGAGTTCCGTCCAGTATCACCATCGCGTCGACACGTGGATTCTCTCTTTCAATCGTCACCGCTGCAGCTTCTCCGTTAGCTCCCACCAGCTCCGGCCATGAACTCTTTCCTGTATCCAATATCCAATATCCAAATAGAAACTTGTTTAGTACTTTAGTTCATCTTCACTTTTCACACCCATTCATTATATAAAAAATTTTGATCGAATCATATGAAATCAAAATATAAATAAATTTAAAAAAGAATCCATTACCTTCGCAATCCGACATTGTTAGATGAGCAGTGAAGACATTGAATTCGAATGTGAGGTATAAATAGAGGTAAAGGCTTTAGAGAAGTGGTGGATTGGAAGTCGTACCTTGTGCAATATGAGTTGTATCCTTTTGCTTTTTCAACATTTCCCGGTTGAGTATATATGCAAAATTCAAAATTGTCACTTTTGTTGAATTGTTGAAATTTGAAAACTGTGACAAAACAAAACGGCCATTTTTGCTGACTTTCAAAATTGGGAAATTCTGGTAATCCCTATCTGATTAAGTTACAACCCATAATTCAATCACAATTTTACAATTATAGTAATAAATCTGAAGCTGTTTGTTTGAGCATATATAAGATATGGGGAAAAAACAACACTTCACTCAGGAAGACTTGAAGATTCTCGATCAAAAAGAAAGACTGTGTACAAATGTCATAATCATTCTACATATATATGACATAAGCCTGATACAAAGATATGGAGAACACCCGATAAAACAAAAAAAAATGACTATCTTTTAAAGAATATACAAACTGAAAAATACATTTTTTTTTAATCGTATAAAGATACAGCTAAATGGAGCACTGAACAAGATAAAGGCTTTTGGTTCCAACTTTTCTTGATGGCCATTCATCAATCTCCACTTCTTTTGTGTCGCTTCTCGATGAATTAAGCAGAAAATAGGGCCGGTCCAAACATATATGTGGCCCGGGGCAAAAAGAAAAAAAAGACCCTCAAAGACAAATATATATATATATATATATATATATATATATATATATATATATATATATATATATATATATATATATATATATAATTTACTCTTGAATATAAACGTATTCAATTAGCACTAAGAAGCAAACTAAGTTATTTATTTTTTCAATTAATTTGAATTTCAACCAACTTTAAGCTCTAAAAATCATTTAGATAATAATTTTTTATATATATAAACTACATAGCCCATAAATTTTGGCCCCATGGAGTCGTGGGCCCTGGGCGGTCGCCCGGATTGCCCACCGTCTTGACCGGCCCTGGCTGAAAACATCAAGTAATGTGTCAGGTGGGTTTTCAGTTGTGATTTATACATAGTATGACATTTAAAGGGTGTTTTATAATAATGCTATGGTCAGAAGACTTAATTATGGTTTCCAAGATTGAGTAATAACGAAAAAGAAAATTAATCATGGTATAAAAATTAAAAATAAATAGCGCTAAATGCATGAAATAGTAAGGTACTTTCATTTATTTGTGTAATAAAGCTTCCTATTTTCATTTCTTTCTATTGAAACAAGCATTAAGGTAAATCTTTTAGGGAAAATGACTTATTAAGGTAACTAACTATTTCAATTGTCCATATATAGGTAATGTTCTTTTTTTTGTACATATTAAGGTAACTAACTTGTTTTGTTTGTTCACATTTAGGTAATATGACCGACTATCACCTGTTTTTGCTTATGTGGCATCCACCTGGCATTACGTGGCATGGTGCATATATGGGAAAATGACTTATTAAGGTAACTAACTATTTCAATTGTCCATATATAGGTAATGTTCTTTTTTTTTATACACATTAAGGTAACTAACTTGTTTTGTTTGTTCACATTTAGGTAATATGACCGACTATCACATGTTTTTGCTTATGTGA